TATATAAAATCACTCTTCTTTTCCGGGAGTTGGTTATTTAGAAATTCAGACCACTCCTGTTGACACTGTCAGAACAAGACCTTTGCAGCTAAAGGTCATGAAAAGAAAAGGTCAATCCAATATTCCATATTTATATTTAAGTTTTCACTGGGGGATATGTACAGAGGAAGTACTCACTTCTCTCTGGGGAACTCCCATTTCGTATATATATAAAATCACTCTTCTTTTCCGGGAGTTGGTTATTTAGAAATTCAGACCACTCCTGTTGACACTGTCAGAACAAGACCTTTGCAGCTAAAGGTCATGAAAAGAAAAGGTCAATCCAATATTCCATATTTATATTTAAGTTTTCACTGGGGGATATGTACAGAGGAAGTACTCACTTCTCTCTGGGGAACTCCCATTTCGGATCCTCTGGCAGCTCATACTCAGAGACACCTGCCAGCATTGGGGTGTCTGCCGTCGAGGACAGGCGAGTCGTTATCCTCACCAGTGGGGTGTTGGAGTTCATGGAGGAGCTGGACTCGGCCGAAACCTGGATACAAAATACAAAGTCCCAGATGTAATCCTGGTTCTACCTGAAAGGGCTGGAAGAGAGCTGGGACCCAGCCAGAACATCAATTCTTACAAAGAAAGGGGGAAGGAACTAGAAAAAAATATCATGGACCAAAATGAAAATTTACTACATTTCCATTCCCTATCCACCCACCCATACTAGATTTTATTCAAGTAATATGTTCCTAAGACCAGAGTTGTTTTTTTTCAAACACAAATTCTTTTTTTTTTTTTCTTTTTTGGTCTTTTTGAGATCTATCCATAGCCCCAGCTAGCATGGAACTTGCTACATAGACCAGGCTGGCCTTGAACTCACAGAGATTGGCCTGCCTCTGCTTAACACAAATTCTTATGTAAATCTGATCATGGCAAGTCTTCTTTCCATGTTAATTCTTCAATACAAACACAAACATTCAGATGGACCCCACTGGCTTCATTATTGTCATTTGCCTAGACTTGTTTCTGAGCCTCAGATATCAAGGTTTGCTCAGTCCTGCTCAGGCCACAGAGCAATAATTTGCTCATGAAGACTAGCATTAACACCAGGGCTGAGCTCAGTGGTAGGGTACCTGGCTAGCATGTACAAGGCCCTAAAAAATCGCCAGGTAAGGATTCACAAACACTGAGGAGAGAGCTCTTCCATGGTGCCTCTGCCTCCAGAAATGTAAGGCAAGGAAAGAATGTTGGGTACAGGTAGGAAGAGTATTCCAGCAGCTCTGAGGTCTTTTACTTAAGGAAACCCAAGACGCAGGCACTGAGGGTCATTCCCCATCTTTCCCCAGTCCTTCTGGAAACTTGATGATGCCCAGGCTGTTTGGTGAAAATGGATTGGCTCTTGTGTCCTTGAACTTCAGGAAGCAGCGTAGTGAACATGTGAGACGGAGAATTGAGGGAAAGAAAATACAGCTCCATTCATAACCACACAGGAAGGATCCTTTTCCACCTGGCAGCACACAGGGCTTCACCAAGCTATTTTCTCATTTGCCCTGATCCATCGCAGCCTACGTCTGACCCAGTGACTATTTTCTTAAGCACATTGTTTCCCCTTGCTGATTACTGAGAAGGAAATCTCATGCAGAGCCCACACGAAGGCCAGGGCTGATTGTGGGTTGCTGGAATACTGCTTTTCTCTAGACGAAGACAGATTGAATGTGAGGTTGGATAGGAACCGCCTCGGCAGCACACCAAGTCACCTTGGCTTCCATCTCCTGCATGCTGGGCATACAGACACTTCCTCATTCAAGTCAGCCAAGATGAATCCAGATGAACTTTCACATGGTGAATCCTAGACTCTTCTCACAAGGAACCCAAGGACCTATAACCCCCAGGAGTGTCCCCATTCAGAAAGCCCTTCAGCTCTTTGGTAAACCCCAACTACCCTTAATGCAAGTAAGAAATTTAGGAAATTGCTTATGGCATTAAAATTAATGGTGTTCACTTTCATCTTCAGCTACACAGTGAGTTCAAGGCCAGTCTGGGCTATATGAGACCCGGTCTCAAAAAAAAAAAAAAAAGTATTAACCAAGAGGTAAAATCATTTTAATATGAAATTTCTATTCTTTAAAATGTACAAGTCACCTTGGCTTCCATCTCCTGCATGCTGGGCATACAGACACTTCCTCATTCAAGTCAGCCAAGATGAATCCAGATGAACTTTCACATGGTGAATCCTAGACTCTTCTCACAAGGAACCCAAGGACCTATAACCCCCAGGAGTGTCCCCATTCAGAAAGCCCTTCAGCTCTTTGGTAAACCCCAACTACCCTTAATGCAAGTAAGAAATTTAGGAAATTGCTTATGGCATTAAAATTAATGGTGTTCACTTTCATCTTCAGCTACACAGTGAGTTCAAGGCCAGTCTTGGGCTATATGAGACCCGGTCTCAAAAAAAAAAAAAAAGTATTAACCAAGAGGTAAAATCATTTTAATATGAAATTTCTATTCTTTAAAATGTACAAGCGTACACTTCTGAGTAGTTTTTTAGAAGGGGAGAGCTATTCATTTATTGAAATATTTTTGTGGGTTTTTTTTAATTGTTGTTGTTTTGAGGCAGGGTCTCCCTATGCAGCCCCAGCTGACCTGGAACTCACTATGTAGATAGACCAGGCTGGCTTTGAACTCACAGAGATCTGCCTACCTCTTGAGGGCTGGGATTAAAGGCATATGTGACCATGCCCAGCTAATAGTTTTTAAACTATTTATTTCTATGTGTGCACATACACACATGTCACAACACAGTGTACTTGTAGAGGTCAGAAGACAATTTGCAGGAGTCAGTTCTCTCCTCCTACCACATGGGCTCTAGGGGCTTGAACTCAGATCATCAGATTTGATGGCAAGCTCCTTTACCTGCTGTGCCATCTTATTACCCCCAAGTTGGGGGGAACTATCTTTAAATCTTACTATACAGATGGTGTAAGTGGCACTTATTTACTTACTGCAGCAAAGCAAAAAAATAATTTGGGGGGCAGGAGGAGGAACCAAAGGATTGTAGTTGAGAATCTCACACTCAAGGGTCCAGATCACAAAGGCAAATGGCAGAAGCAAGGAGGGAGAGATGAACTAGAAAAGGCGTGGGCTTCACTGGAGTCCACTCTGCTCCCCACTAAAGTTACGGTCTAAGCAGGAGCCCTGCCCTGGCTATAACGAAGCTGACTCCCAAGCCCCTTCCATAGTCCATATCAGCCTCGATGTGGTAGGCTGGCCACATCTTCGGATGCATCAGAAACCAAGAACTTTCAAATAACATCAATATGCCCAATTTCTACTGGCCATAAAAACATCACAAGCTTCATCCGCAGAAAAGGGGCTCCAGAAATTCTGGAATGGGGTTGGCCCACAATCTTCCCTGGATCTACCTACTTCTATATCAGGATCACCTACCTAATAATGCTTGCAAAAGTGGTATTTTCAAAAAAAGAAAAGGATCTTTCTGGAAATCCCTCTATACGAACAGGCAAAAATCACTACTCACTGTAATAGAAATTCATGCCTGAAGATCAGAGGCAAGAAGTCTCAGCCAGTCCAGTAAAAGTCAGCCTAGAAATGAGAAAATACCGGCCCCAAATGACCAAGGGCCAGCAAAGGCTGCATGCAGCCACAGAAGTCTTCACAGGGCCATCAGCCTGGCGCCTCATCACCGGTCCCCAGAGTCTCAGAACTGAACTGTTGGGATGCAGTGTGCTAAAACCAGTTTGAAGGGGATGCTGATTGGGAAATCACAGAAGCCACAGCACTGGATGACGTTAATGCCCCAAAGTGGGAAGCACATGAGCACTTCTGTGCCTTGTCCCTTAGAGTCACCCCTCACAGGAAGGCGTATAGGACAGGATGTGGCCACAGGCATTTAAAAAGCTCCTAAGAAAGGGGACATGGTGCTTAATGCCTGCCTTTAATCCCAGCACTTGGGAGGTAGAAGGAGGTGGATCTCTATGAGATCAAGGTTAGCCTGATCTACATAGCGAGTTCCAGGCCAGCTGGGGCTACAGGAAGACCCTGTCTCTATTTTTTAAAAAATTCCTGGAAGTATATCTAAGGACTGAGCGGTGGTCACCTTTCAGCCTCTCAGGAGAGACATCAAGAAATGGAGAAGAGGGTAGGAAATAGGTTTTATTCCAGAACTTTCTAGACCATTTAGTTTTTAGTACCATGATTGTATGTTCTTTCATGTTTTAGAAGAAGCACTTTCTTTAACAAAAATATTGTTTTGACTATCAAGTATCTGAACTGAAACATGAACAAACAGAAAACAGAAGACAAAGGCTTGAAACACACAGAGCTCAAAATCAGTTATTAATGCCAAGACTCTGGCCTCTCTCGTGTCTCTAGGCAGTTTCAAGGTGTCTCTGTATCCTTTGCTGTGTGTACCCTGCCCTGGTGACCACCCTAGACTGAGCAATCCTAGTGGCTGCCCCACACTGTGTGCTTGAGGTCAGATTTCCAGGGCTATGTCCAGTTAAAATACACACTACCTGTGGGTCTCAGCAGGTCTCTTAACCCTCCTCAGCCCAGGTCTCCTAATCTGTCGAATGGAGGTGGGAACAGTCCCAGCCTCAGAAATTAAAACAACACAAGAGCTTGCTACAGGTGGAACCTTCAGAGCTCAATGTACTTGCTACCTGGGCTCACTGCCTAACGATGAATGTGATTTAGGGGCTACCTCATATCAGAGGAATTTACCATTTAATCTGACATTAACTGCTGTGAGAACCTCTGACCCAAAGGGGATACAGACCCCCAACCTGTGGCACAAGTTCACCAAACACACACCTACTCCAGAACAGAGCATCTCCACAAGGTTTTTATGTGCATGCTTTCAAAACGGGGGCAAAATAACTAAAATAACATGGAAAAAAACCTTAACAGCCTATGCTGCCGTCATCGCTATTAAAATATAAAACTGTTTACTTGTGGGAATTTTGTTCAAGATGAAGCGTGGAGATTTGGATTTAGTGCACACGTCTGGAAAATACCTTTGTACAAAACACAAAGTAGGAAAAAGGGTAAGAAAATACCCAAAGTATCCGAAAATACAGAGCTCAGTCTCTCTGTCTACGAAGGTGTATCTTAATTTTACCACCATGCATTTTTACTGTGCTGTTAAAATCCCCTCTGGGACTGTAAAGTGCGACTGGTTTTCTCTTCACTCCCCTTTCCTGGGAAAGCAAACCTGTTTGGAGGGTTGGCCCGATCTCTAGCAGGGGCTCACCAGGGGACCCTATGTTTCAGGAGTCTCTTTCCGAGTCCCCACCTTGGAAGTCCTTTTTTTTTTTTTTTTTTTTTTTTTAACCTTGGCACCATTACACTATGGCTTTTTTTCTTGTTTTTCTTTTTCAAAAAGAATCCTAACCGCCCCCCGCCCCAGATAGTCTTCAATTCCTAATCTAGAAACTTCGATTCTGGAGTTTCCTTTTCAACTTACTTAAGAATGTTTCACTGTTAGTGAGAAGTAAGTTACTTACAGACAATAAATGCTAACAC